ATCCGTATAATAGGGATACCAGAAGGAGAAGAAGAGGAGCAAGGAATAGAGAACCTCCTCGAAAAAGTAATGATGGAAAATTTCCCTAATTTGAGGAGAGAAAGGCTCTCATGGATCCAGGAGGCACAGAGGACCCCACTCAAGAAGGACCCAAGGAGGTCCACTCCAAGACACATCATCATTAAAATGGCAAATGTCAAAGACAAAGAGAGAATCCTGAAGGCAGCAAGGGAAAAGGAGAAAGTAACATACAAGGGGGCCCCGATACGCCTAGGAGCTGACTTCTCAACAGAAACACTCCAAGCCAGAAGGGAATGGCAACAAATATTCCAAGCCATGAAAAGCAAGGGCCTACAGCCAAGGCTGCTCTACCCAGCTAGGCTCTCCATTAAAATAGAAGGAGAAATACGGAGTTTCCCGGACAAAAGAAAGCTAAAAGAATACATCTCTACCAAACCAGCACTCCAAGATATGCTAAGGGGACTGGTTTAAGCAGATGAAGGAAAAGAATGAGACAGAGAGGAACACAAGTACAAAGAGAAAAGATGAGTAAGTTTCTATCAGTAATATCTCTCAATGTGAATGGACTAAATGCCCCAATCAAAAGACACAGGGTAGCTGAATGGATAAGAAAACATGACCCACACATATGCTGCCTACAAGAGACCCACCTCAGAGCAAAAGACCTACACAGATTGAAAGTAAAGGGATGGAAAAAAATACTCCAAGCAAATGGGCATGAGAAAAAGGCTGGGGTTGCCATACTTGTATCAGACAAAGTAGATCTCAAAACAAAGGCCATAAAGAGAGACCCAGAGGGGCACTTTATCATACTTAAAGGAAGACTCTATCAAGAAGACATCAACATTGTAAACTTATATGCTCCCAATATAGGAGCCCCCAAGTTTATAAGGAAATTGTTGGATGACTTCAAAAAAGATATAGATAGCAACACACTGATAGTAGGGGATTTCAACACCCCACTGTCCAAAATGGACAGATCTTCCAAACAAAACATTAATAAACATATCGTGGCGCTGAATGAAACACTGAATCAAAGAGACTTAACTGACATATATAGAATCTTACATCCCAAAGAAGAAAAATACACATTCTTTTCAAATGCTCATGACAGTTTTTCAAAGATAGACCACATGATAGGACACAAAGCAAGCCTCAGTAAATTCAGGAAAATTGAAATAATACCAAACTTTTTCTCAGACCACAAGGCCTTGAAACTCGAAATCAAACTCAAAGAGAAACTTCAAAAACTTGGAAACTCATGGAGACTGAACAGTACACTATTAAACAATGAATGGGTCAATAATGAGATAAGAGAAGAAATCAAAAAATTTCTGGAAACAAATGAAAATGAACAGACAACTGTCCAAAACCTATGGGACACAGCAAAGGCGGTCCTGAGAGGGAAGTTCATAGCAATACAGGCTTACCTTAAAAAGATAGAAACATTTCAAATAAAAGACCTAACACTACAACTTGAAGAACTGGAGAAACAACAACAAATAAATCCCAGAGCAAGTAGAAGGAAGGAAATAGTCAAGATTAGAGCAGAACTGAATGACATAGAGACAAAAAGAACAATTCAGAGGATCAACCAATCCAGAAGCTGGTTCTTTGAAAAGATTCATAAAGTGGACAAACCTTTAAGCAGACTCATCAAGAAAAAAAGGGAGAGGACCCAAATTAATAATATCAGAAATGAAAGAGGAGAAATAACAACTGATACCACAGAAATACAAATGATCATCAGAAACTATTATGAACAATTATATGCCAAGAAATTTGAAAATCTGGATGAAATGGACAAGTTTTTAGAAAAGTATAATCTTCCAACACTGAAGGAGGAAGAAACAGAAAGCTTGAACAGACCGATAACAGTTGGGGAAATTGAAGCAGTAATCAAGAAACTCCCAGCACACAAAAGCCCAGGGCCAGACGGTTTCCCAGGAGAATTTTACAAAACATTTAAGGAAGAGCTAACCCCTGTCCTTCTCAGACTATTCCAAAAAATCCAAGAGGAGGGAAGACTGCCAGACTCCTTCTATGAGGCCAGCATCACCCTGATCCCAAAACCAGATAAAGACCCTACAAAGAAAGAAAACTACAGGCCAATTTCGCTGATGAACATAGATGCTAAAATCCTCAACAAAATATTGGCAAACCGCATCCAGCAATACATTCAAAAGATTATCCATCACGATCAAGTGGGATTCATCCCAGGGATGCAGGGATGGTTCAATATACGCAAATCAGTAAACGTGATACACCACATAAATCAAAGACAAGACAAAAACCACATGATCATCTCGATAGATGCAGAAAAAGCATTTGACAAGGTACAGCACCCATTTATGATCAAAACACTCAGCAAAATGGGAATCAATGGGGCATTCCTCAACGTAATAAAGGCCATATATGAAAAACCTACAGCCAATATCATACTCAACGGGCAAAAACTAAAAGCTTTCCCACTAAGATCGGGAACACGACAAGGATGCCCGCTCTCACCGCTTCTTTTCAACATCGTATTGGAAGTCCTAGCCACAGCGGTCAGACAAGAGAAAGAGATAAAAGGCATCCAAATAGGAAAGGAGGAAGTAAAACTATCATTGTTTGCAGATGACATGATAGTGTACATAGAGAACCCTGTAGACTCTACCAAAAAACTCCTCAACCTAATAAGTGAATTTGGCAAAACAGCAGGATACAAAGTCAACATTCAGAAATCAAAGGTGTTTTTGTACACCAGCAATGCAATAGAAGAAGAAGAAATCAGGAAAAATATACCATTCGATATAGCACGAAAAAAGATAAAGTACCTAGGGATAAATTTAACCAAAGACACAAAAGACCTGTATGCAGAAAACTATACAACATTGAAAAAAGAAATTAAGGAAGACACAAATACATGGAAGCATATACCGTGCACATGGATTGGAAGAATTAATGTCCTCAAAATGTCCATACTACCAAAAGCAATTTATAGATTCAACGCAATCCCTATTAAGATACCAATGACGTATTTCACAGAAATAGAACAGACATTTCAAAAATTTATATGGAACCATAAACGACCTCGAATAGCTGCAGCAATTTTGAGAAAGAAACACAAAGTAGGAGGGATCACAATACCGGACATCAAACTCTACTACAAAGCCACTATACTCAAAACAATCTGGTACTGGCACAAGAACAGACCCATAGACCAGTGGAACAGAATAGAAAGCCCAGAAATAAGCCCAGGTCTCTATGGGCATCTAATATTTGACAAAGGGGGCAGAAGCATAAAATGGAGCAATAACAGCCTCTTCAACAAATGGTGTTGGGAGAGCTGGATGGCTACATGCAAAAAATTGAAATTGGATCATCAGCTGACACCATACACAAAAATAAACTCAAGATGGATAAAAGACTTAAATATAAGTCGCAACACCATCAAAGTCCTAGAGGATAACATTGGCAGGAAACTCTCAGATATCCCACGCAGCAATTTTTTCACTGATATGTCTCCTAAAGCAAGGGACATAAAGGAAAGAATAAACAAGTGGGACCTCATGAAAATAAGAAGCTTCTGCACGGCTAAAGAAAACATCAGCAAAATGAAAAGGGAGCCAACCATTTGGGAAAATATATTTGCTAATGATACATCAGATAGAGGTTTGATCTCCAAGATATACAAAGAACACTCGACTTGACTCCAAGAAGACAAACGATCCAATCAAAAAATGGGCAAAGGACCTGGGCAGACGCTTTTCTAAGGAGGAGATACAGAGGGCCCAGAGGCATTTGAAAGGATGCTCTGCATCACTAGCCATTAGAGAAATGCAGATCAAAACCACCATGAGGTACCACCTCACACCGGTCAGAATGGCCATCATAAACAGATCCACAAACAACAGGTGCTGGCGAGGCTGTGGAGAAAAGGGAACTCTAGTCCACTGTTGGTGGGAATGCAGACTGGTGCAGCCACTATGGAAAGCAGTGTGGAATTTCCTCAGAAAGCTGAAAATGGAACTGCCTTTTGATCCAGCGATTCCCCTGCTGGGACTATACCCTGAGAACACCAAAACGCCAATACAAAAGAACCTATGCACCCCAATGTTCATAGCAGCACAATTTACAATAGCCAAGTCTTGGAAGCAACCTAAATGCCCATCAGTAGATGATTGGATCAAAAAATTATGGTACATATACACAATGGAATACTACGCAGCAGAAAGAAAAAAAGAAGTACTAAACTTCGCAACAGCATGGATGGAACTGGAGAGCATCATGCTAAGCGAAATAAGCCAGGGGGCGAAAGAGCAAATACCATATGATCTCACCTATAAGCGGAACCTAACCAACAATGCAAAGAAGCAAGGCAAATATGACCAGCAACACTGAAAGGAAAAGAAATCAACAGAGACAAGAGGGAAGGGGGGGCAGGGAAAGGGAAGGGAAGGGGAAAGTCAAGGAACATATAGCAAGGACTCATGGACAAAACCAAAGGGGAAGAGCTGAGGGAGGGAAGGTGGGAGGGGGCAAGGGAAAGAGGGGGGGGAAGGCAGAGACAAATGTATTTAAAAAGTAAATAAATTAAAAAAAAAAATCTCATCCATTTAGAATTTTAAAACATTTCTATTTTTTCTATTTGATCAAAGTAAAAATCAGAGGGGAAGGAAAAATACTTAGGACTGAATGAAAATGAAAATGCCATTTATCAACTGAGGAGATGTAGCAAAAGTTGTACTTTGAAGAAAAGGTTGAGCCTTCAGTTCTCGTATTAGAAAAGAAGAAAGGCTGAGAGTTGATGAGTGAAGCCTCCAACTTCATGAGTTACAAAAAGGGCAATGGAAAATACAGAGAAGTGTTCTTGCTCTTTCATACTGTAGACAGAATGCACTTAGTAAAAGAAACAAGCAATAAAAGCGAGTCATTATTCTGATGTGATGTTGTTAAGTGCTCGTGAATGAAGGACTAGAAAATGGGATCATTACCTTCCAATTTCATTCAGCTCCGTATAAGCCGAATCAAAATTTTCCTTCCAGGAAATGGTGGCACCATCAGCAGCAGCATCTTTGGAAGAGAGAGAGAATCCATTTCTGACATCGAGGAAGTCATATAGAGTAACAAAACGGTTAGCAGAAAAGCTCCAGCATCACTGCAAATCAGGACTAAATATGGAGTCTAACTCAGTGGGGGAAATGCCACGATTTTCTGCTGTTCTTTTTTTAAAAATATGATCCAAGGGGAAACTGATATAACAGAGTCAGACTCCCTCCCTGCGTCACCAACAGCAACACAGGGACTTGGGGACAGTCTGGGTTGTGACTTCAGGATATTTTACAGATGAATATTTGGTAGAAAAAATTAAAAGGGAGCCCTGGCCTGTGAGGTTCAACTGGTTGGAGTGTTGTCCCCGACACAGAAAGGGTGCAGTCCCTGGTGGGGGAGCCTACGGGCGGTCATCGAAAGCTCTCTGTTATATGGATGTTCTCTTCCCTCTCCACCTTCGCCCCCTCTCTAAAAGCAATGAAAAGAAAATGTCCTTGGGTGAGGATAAAAAAAACTAAAAGGGAGAGAGGAAACCACGCTGAAGGCATTGGTGAGAATCAGGGCTGCGGGAGGACGCAGCAGAGAGGGCGTGGGAAAAGCCAGAAAAGGAAAGGAATGTGCTCAGGAGGGTCTAAAACCCATTCTTTCTCACCTCCTGGTCTCAGGCATTTATGAGCTTATCCCGTATATGGAATTATTTAGCTTAACTCAAAATACAAGCCTGAGTCGAAGCTCTGCAGCATTACCGTACACGACGTGTTAATCCCCTGGCAATGACTTAGACACGTGCAAGCACGCACACTCCTATCTGTGTGTTGTCTCCGGGGACCAAGGCTGACAAGAAGCAAGCCGTGAGCAGGGTCCCCTCTGAATGGGACAGAGTCAGTGGCGTGGGAGGAGAGGACCAAGCCAGTAGCACAGCTCTTCTGACCTCGGTCACCTGGGGCTGCCCAGAGCACAGCCCAGCTGAGGCTGAAGGTGCCCATCTGCACTGCAATAGGAGGAAACAGAGACCCAAGGCCAAGGTTTCCCAGTGAATTACAGGTCCACTGAGACAAAGCCGTTGGGAGAGTGCTGAACCAGTGGGGACAGAGCTGGGGAGCATTTCTGACTTCAGCTGTGGGTGGGGCTGCAGTCTGAGACCCTGTAAGGTTTCCGGAGCCCCTCTTTAGGCTCTGGGATTCCTTTAACCCGAAGAGGCACAGAACCTCTTTGCCTTTTAAGTAGTGACCTCCTTTGTCCACTCCAACACACTCGGTCCACTCCCCTGCACGGCCAGAAAACTCACTCCTTGTTTCCTCTCTCAAAATGTCCTGGGGACCACCGCGGCTTGGTGGGATGGCAAAGAGGTGGGCGAATGAGGAGCCTCACTTGTAAAATACTCATGTGTAGCTGGTTGTGTGTGTATCTTCGTTTATTATTCAGCACATCCACCTAAAAATGCATCCACATTGAGAAAAGATGTTCTGGGAGGGTAAGAGAGTGGGGAAATGATCAACTCCTTTAACGAGGTCCTTTTCCTCTCCCGATTTTAAATTGGTGAGTCGGGGTGTCCCTAGTACTCTCAGGTACACTTATGCCTGGCAGGGGCTCCCAGGGGAGAGGAGCGTTGTGGTGTTTCTGTCTCAGAAGAGGGGCAGATAGTACCCATGTGACTCATGATGTCTGCCTGCCCCTCTGTTCCTGGGGAAACACCTGGAGCCCAGGGAACCTGGCAGGCCCAAGCTAAACATGGGCGGCAGATCTAACTTTTGCTCCAAGACACTTGAAATCACACTTGATGGAAACAATCTTCACCAGGCCTCTGAAATGTTACTTGACTGAAGCCACTGAACAAATCCAAGCCACCTGCTGCATGGCAGCTGACACGCCAATGAACAGACAGTCCCGGCAAGTGTGGCCTCTGGCCAGGCGCCTCGCCTCCACTGACGGGGGTCCTGGGCGCGGCTGGGACCCACCGTATTCTGGAAGTCTCACGAACTCCGAGGGCTCGCTGGGAAGGCTGATGCCCCAGGGGTTACTGGCACTGACTCGGAACTGATAAGGACTCCCAGGGCTGAGGTCTTCGATGACGAGGTAAGTGTCCAAGGTCGAAGCTACTGACTGCTGCCAGGCCTGAGAACCTAGTGCACAATTTCCGAGGAGAGAGAAAGAGAAAAAGCCAGAGGGACATTGTTTCAAAGACCTTCAGCAAACAAAGAAAGGAAAATTGACACATTCCATTCAAGGGACAATTGCGGTCACTGTGTTGGGCTCTGAAAGCCTGTGGGCAAACTGTGGAGGATTGGGGTTTAATTTCCTAAATGCTTGAATATATCACAAGGGATGTAGAAGCAGTTGGCCCGCAGTTCATTTCAAATATGCACATGTGAGCATGGGAAGTCAAGTAGATCATACAGAAGTTATAGAGGAACATGGGGCACATTTTGAATAAGGCCAGGAAAGCAGAAAGTAATACCAAAACTGAGAAACTGCATTTGGAAATTGAAACAAAATAAAAATGAGCATATTGAGCAGTGTATACTTGTAGAACACCGTGGAAGGCGTCTTCACATAAATCTCTCGTTTTACTCTCTCACTTAAATCCATAGAAACCCTATGAGGTCAGGAGCACTAATCTCAGTTTACAGATGAGGATACCAAAGCTCAGAGAGATTAGACAGCTTTCGCAAGGCAGCTTGCATAGTGCCGAGGCGAGCATGAACTTGGTGAACTGTGCCCGTCGCTGCACGTTAACATCTTTGTGCTGCCTGGGGAGACACGGGAGGGAACAGGATGAGAGAGGGGCTGAAGTCAACAGCTTTGGGACTTTCCCAGGGGAAAGAAGAGTTAAAATAATAAGAGGAATGGAAAGGACAGTAAAACACATGATTTTGGTTCCAGGTGCAAGCATCACTTTCAATTCCCTTGTGTAATTCGGCATGTGGTTCAGGGATGTGTTATTAACAATCAGCTATCTCACAGCTTCTTATTTTAGCTAATTCTTCTTGATAAGTAGATGTCAGGCTTGGCTGTTTACAACTACTGAGGAAATGTATGCACTTTTAGCATGTAAATGTAACATTTAAAAACAATTTCTTTAAAAAGTTAGTATATATAAAAAGATACTATATATAAATATATATAAATTTATAAAAATTTATATATATTTATATATAGTAAAAAGTTACTATATATAGTAAATATATACACACACACACACATATATATGGTGCGATCTCTAAATTTTATCTGGGGATGGAGGTGCGGGGTGGGGTAAAGCTGTGTTCCTGATCTCCTAGTTGTTACTCCTGGAGAAAGATCACAAATTAGCAAACTAGAGACCTGGGTTCTAACTTTTGCCGCCTGCTTCTTAACTTTCTTTAGACCTGAGCCTCCTCATCTGCAAAATGGGCCTGCTCGTCTCCGTCTGCGTGACTGGGCTTGTTAGGCAGGGAAGTGCACGTGAGGGCACTTTGAAATCTGCCATGAGTCTTCATTTTGTCCAAAACCACTACTGGGTGTTTGAGATCCCAGCAGGCGCTGTAGTCTGGCGCTGAGGACTTTGTACTGAGTTGGAAGACACAAGAAGGACCCGCTGATGAAGGGCTTGGAGACCAATAGTTTTATGACTCTGAAGGCCCCTTTTATAAGGAAGAGGAGACAGAACCAGATGGCCCACCTTCCTCTCTGTACTCCACGGTGTAACCGGAAATGGTGCAGTTTCCCGTGCTGGACGGGGGCAGCCAGCGGAGAATCACAGAGGTGCAGCTTCTCTCCTGGGCGATGGGGCGGTTAGGGGCCGCTGGGACACCTTCAAGGGCAGAAATTAGGGTCAAGTGCTATTTCTGCAGAACTTGGTATTTTACAGCAGGGTTGAATGTTACCTAGGAAATGTTACCTAATCTGCATCTCAAATTTTTCCTGTGGGAGATACACCCTGCTGTCAGAAATTCTTCTTGGTTAGAACATCGTCCCAATACACCAAGGCTGTGGGTTTAATCCCCAGTCAGGGCACATACAAGAATCAACCAATGAATGCATAAATAAGTGGAATGACAAATCTCTCTCTCCCCCTCCCCCCTAAAATCAATAAATAACATTTTATTTTTACAAAAGAAATTCTTCCCTGGGTTGAATACCGCACATGGAGAGTAGAACACTGAAAGCTCTTAGCGAAAATTCGTTCTGTTCCCACCTGCTAAAACTTTACTTTGGAATTTCCACAATGCTCCCCCCCAACGCTGCCCAGGTCTCAAGGAGCTCTTGTCATGTCCACAGAAGATATTTGACTAGCACACATTCACAGAGAGGAAAAGGAGAATGGTAAGTGCCAGGGCCTGGGGTCAGGGAGGGAAGGATGGGGAGTTATTTAAAGGGTAAAGAGTTTCAGTTTTGCAAGTTGAAGAGATTGGTAACACCACAATGTGAATAAACTTACAGGTGAAAGTGGTTAAAAGTGGTTAAGATAGTAAATTTTATGTTATGTGTATCTTATGACAGTAAAATTGAATATTTTAAAAAGTATAAAAAGTGCTTTAAAAAGAGTCTGTACCTTGCACTTTAACCGCAGCAGATGTTGATGCGGTCCCGTGGTCATTTGTTGCTATGCAGGTATAAATCCCGCTGTCCTGGGGCATCAGATTACAGATCTTCAGGGTGATTTCACCAGAATCGCTAGAGACACCGAAAGGATGCCTTCAGATTCTAGTAATGAGACGGTTGACTGGTGGGGTCTGGCATCTGGTGCGGTCAGCTGAGTCCTTAGGGCCAAGGGCGAGTCCCAGTTCTGTCACATGCCTCAGGTGGTCACCTTGCCTCCCTACATTCTCATTTCCTTAATTATGGGGGGGAAATTCTTGCCATGCCTATCTCTCAAGTGTATTGTACATAAGGGATACGGATAGAAAAAGAGTGAAATGAGGTAAGAATTGGAGCATGGTTTGAGATATGTAAAGTTCTATACAAGCACTGGTTCACAGTATTGCTTGTGTTATTACCACCAGCAATTTCATTCTGAATAGTTTGTCTCACAGATCAAGAATGAATGGTACAGGAAATGGAAAGACTAAGGAATGGAAATGTTCAAGTATTTCAAATTTTACATGTGGGACCCTCCAAATCATTAAGTAAAGTAAATAAAGGGCAAATTCCTCCACTAAATGGTGACTATCCCAGTAGTCCCAGTCTGGGGTCTGGGCATCGCACTGGAAGAGCTGCTCTGAAAGGGTTAAATGCAGAGGTCACAGGCAGCCCCATGCTTTCCCCACCAATTGTGACAGAAGGGCGATCCTCAGGCTCCTCGCCCAGCGCGGACTCCCGCTAACCTCCTTGGGTCCACTGATGTTTTAGGACCCAGGCAGGGAGGCTCTGCTGTGACATCATTTTATTATACATCCACCAATATTAAGTTAATAGATGAAACTATCTTGATCTTGGGTGTTTCTTCCACAGATGTTTCTTAACAGAACAGAAGATTAGGGCTTGTTACTGCTTATCTACTGTGAGCCATAGTCCACAATAAAGTTCATAATTAGTAGTAATAAATATTAACAGGATGATTGGGAGGCAGTCAACCAAATTTTGTTAAACACCTGTTTTACCCAGAAGCATGCTGTGGCTGGATATTCTGTTTTCTGTTGTACATTTTGGAGTGGGTCACTGTCTCTTTTGGTAAGAGAATTGTTCTCAGGTTAATGGGAGAGCTAAATATTGATTATATCACTGCTTCCCAGGATGCTGAGAGGGCACAGAGAACACTGGGACATCTGGACGTGAGGACCACATTCCTACCACAGGTCTGCGGGCCTCCTCATGTCTGACATAGACATTCTCTTGGGAATCCTTAGGAGAAAGACAACTAAATAGGCTGAAGGGAAGTCAGTGACTGTCAAAACTCTCCAAGGTCTGGTTCAGCCTTGACCTGAGAGAGTCAAGTTTCATGTTTGTCTTTATTTGATGTGAGTCCAGAATGCAGCCTTTCTGAACTGTCCTTTCTGATCCCAGGTATGCCTGCCTAATGCAGAGCAACAGGTGAATATGTGCTGGTCATGACCCAGGTGACAGCCTCAGGCCGAGGCTGCACCTGAAGCTCAGGGTCCGCAGTCCACTGCCATGTGAGCAGAGTGCACTGCTGTGAGCCACCCAGAGGTTTTGACTCAGTCTCTCTCTTAATCAAGGCCAAGTGTTTGTGCTAGAATAGGCTCCGGGGCAGCTCTTCTCTGGGGGAAGCTAAATCCCTGGAACGGAGCTGCATCCCAGACTTAGCCTCTTGGGGCTGCACTGCTCGCTGGGGGTGCTGAGGGCGGGGGCGCTTACCAGGAAGAGAGGTTGTAGGTGGCAGAGCTGCTGTCCGTGTCAAGGATGTTCTGGTCTGGACCCTTCCAGGTGATGGTGGGCTTCGGCCGCCCACAGACTTTGCACTGCAGTGTCACTGTGTCCCCAAGCAAGCAGGTCACGTCCACTAAGGGCACAAGGAATTCTGGGGCCACTGTGGTCAAATTGACATAAATTCACATCATTCAGAACTTAGAATAAAACAGCCATTTTATAACATATTACTCTCATTTCCCACCCATGGTGTGTAGCAATTCAAATAACACTATTGGTTAACCTGTGTCCCATGAAAAAGTATTTTAAGGTAATACATGTTCACTGTAGACAAATTAGGAAATATAGATGAACAAAGAGAAAAAAAAGCTTCGTGATGCCATGATCCAGAAGTAACTATTGTGAATGTGCTGGTTCTGCCATGAGCTATTTAGGCAGCCCCCAAGTTCTCAATTCTACCACTTTTTAAACTCACCTTCTTGGATGAAATTTGGATTTAAGATCTGAAAAACACAAAGAAACAGAAGATTGCTTAAATCCTAGACGACTACAAGAGAATAGGAGACTTTTATTCTATTGACTAAAATGAAGTGCAAATTAGAGGGATGAAGCCCAGAGCCCAGCCCCTGCTATTTGTGACCCTGTCCCCATCACAGTGACAACAAAGGGCGCCTGGTTTCCTCTCCTGTCTACTCTGGTTGGTCACACTCCTCCAGGTGGCCTGGGGCCCGGCGCCCGGGCAGGTTTCCTCTGACCATGAGCTCGGCAGGCCACGGCTGGCCTTTCTGTCCTCCTCGCCTCCGTGGCCCTTCCTCCCTGCCACACGCATGGAAGGCCACTCTCCTTCCCACCCTGTTCAACATTCACCCACGTCACGATGGCACAGATTCTTCCCAGTGCCATGAATTTTCAAAAGCAGAGGACCCGACGCTTATCAGATCAGAAGAGTCATTGCCATTAATCACTAACCACTAACCTAGCGGTTTCCTTCCAAATGCACCCCCTCCCCTCTAGCAGGGAAGCTTCTCGTAAACGCAGAGCTTGCCTGGTTGAAGGGGAAAGAGAACGATCGTGCCCATCCATCCAGTCCCCGGCACGGCCTCCTGTATCCCAGGCCTCCACAGGACAACTTGAAAACAACTACCCCTGGGCTCCAGCCCTTTTGGCTGCTCAGGTGAGAAAACGGAGATGTAGACCAGCTAGGCCTGGTCACAAGGCTGGGTGGCAGAGGCATAGTTGGAGCTCTTTGCCTAGCGTGCTGACCACCGTGTGACACCACGGATCTTCACAGAAGGAAACACCTTCCAGCCAATGGATCATGCTGAAAAGTCCCCACTCCTCAAGGGGTGGAAGCCGAGTCACCCCTCCCATCTTTGTGTTATCTCCAACCGTGTAAGTCTGGATGGCACCTGGCAGGGTGAACAAACCATGGGCTTTGGAGTCAGAGAGACTGGGCTCAACTCTTTCACTTAATGTGATTTCAGGCTGATTACTTGAAAATTATTAGCATCGATTTCCTCTACTCTAAAATGCAAATAAATAATACTTGGTGCAAAGTGTTACCACAAAGGTTAAATGAAATAATGTATGTCAAGTGCTTAGCACTATTCTTGACAAGCAACCAATCTTCAAAGACTAATTAAATAAAGATTATCTAATCCTAATCCTCTCCCTTACGCTAGGCAACCTATTGTTACAGTGGCTTATATCTAATAATTTATTTTGCAAAATTCTTCTTTCCTTCATAATGAAGCCAGAAAGCTCATGTGTCTTTCAAACAGCCCATTGGGGCACTCACGGTTAGCTCCCTGTATTTACTTCATATGTGAACACGGTTTCTGTATGCTCTTCGCTGATACAGGGATCCATAGGAACCCTTTGGGACAAAGATGCTATTTCCTCCTTTGGGTTCCCCTCTGCAGATGACTGCCCAGGTACGCCTCCTAGGTGCTTCCCTTAGGCTGCAAGCCCTCCTGCGGAGCCACGCCCTGGGGCTGGCGTCTCAGGGCTCCTCTCTAAAGGCCACTCACAGCACTGGCTGCCTTCCTTTAAATCAGTGGTTCTCAGTCTTTAACCTGGATAGCTTTAAAAACACAAAAAGACCAATGCCTGGGCCTCATGCCCAGAGATTCTGTTTTAATTAGCATAAGGGCGATCCAGGCATCAGGAGTTTTGAAAGCTGCCTCAGGTGAATCAACATGCAGCCTGGTTTGAGGAAAGCTCCTGAAGGCCCCCCTCAATCCAAGTGGACTGATTTCAGATAAACCAGCTTTCTGCCCCTGAGGCCTTTCCGAGGTGGGGTAGGGGCGGAGTGGGGGCGCCTGGTAAAAGCTTCTGCCTTTCCCACACCTAAGAGACCCCTCCATGTGAGGAGACATGGTAGGGGACTACCCTACACATGGTGGGCACCACCCCATCACTTATAGGTGGTGCTACGCCTGCCTTAGGTTGAGGCAGAAAGAATGACATCTGAACCAGTCATTTCACAGTCAAAGAAAGAGACCAGGAATATTGTCTAGAGTCAACAGTGGCTATCTCAGGGTGGCAGGATAAAGGGTGGCTCTCTCCTGTTCAAACAACATTCACTGTGGTCTCCACTAGGCCAGGATAAGGTTGTGTGGCTATAGAGATGCTAAGATGTAGGCCCTGCCCTCAGGATTTAGAAAATGTTGTCTGGACTTTGGGTGATTCTTTTCTTTTTCTTCTTACCTGGGCTTTCCAAATACTCTGCAGTCAGAATGTTTTACTTTTGTAACAACTTTTCTTTAAAGGAAAAAAATAAAAGGTGCAACCAGAGCTATTAAACTGCAGGTTTTTCCAGGACACAAGCCCCTTGTTATTCATCTTTGTACCTCGGGCCCTGAGCGTGGGGTCTCCTGTACGGTGGGCACTTAATACATGCTGGTTGAATGGCTATTTGATCTTTGTCCTCATTTCAGTTCTCCCAAGAACTGAGGACTGGATCATGAATGGAATTTGGAAATAGGACCAAAAGATGTATACACCTTAACACCTCTGGGTAATGACTAATACTAGTTGCCTAGATTCTATTTTCAAACACAGATGTTTGAAACACAAACTTTTTGGAAAATGATTACAGAGCAGTAAAAGCCATTGGCTCTGAGAACGGGAGGCTCTGAGCAGCACGCTGTGCATGCAGGCGGGGACATCAGCTCTGCCGCCGGCAGAGCATGCGGGGCCCACAGACCCGCAGCCGGACACGCCCTCCTGCCCTGAACACATTCCTAATGCCACTCAGGCCCTAGTTCTATCTATCAGTTGGGGGTGACGACGCCCACCTGGAAGGTTGCTTGATGTAAGGACTCTTAACTGATGAAGATTTTTTTGACCTTTGATTAGGGGGTGACGTGCAGCAGGGAGGAAGGCAGGCGTACTCACTACCTTTGCTGGGCCAGCAGTCTAGTGGGGAGGGTGGAATTAAGTGGCATCTGGACAGTGTTCAGGGTGGCGCCTGGCTGAGCTTAATGGCCAGCCTCCAACAAACATGAAGCACTGCCCTCGCCCCATCCCATCTCCACTCAATGACAAGGACTCTGGGGAAAAACGACTTGGGAATGCGGGCTACTTTGTTCAGTGTCGTTGCTGATGGGAGCAGCGCGTCCAAGCCAGGAGTCTCAGAGAGGGGACAAAGGACAACGGGACAGATGAGCGGCAGGTCCCTATGTTGTAAAGTGTTAAGTGGGGTTTCATATACCGGCACGGTGCAGGACTCTAATCAAACACCCCAAACTGCTGCTTAGAGGATTTCTCTAAGCCCTATTTCTCTTTCTCATCACACCCCAACTGCATTGAGTACGTTATTAAATACACTGTTTAAAAAACAAATCTTCCTAGTTTGGCGGGGGGGTGTCCAGCCCGTGGCCCGCCGGCCGCATGTGGCCGAGGATGGCTGTGAATGCAGTGCAACACAAAATCATAAATTTACTTGAAACCTTTTTTTTGCTCATCAGTTTTTGTTAGTGTTTGTGTATTTAATGTGTGGCCCAAAACAACTCTTCTTCTTCCAGTGTGGCCCAGAGACACCAAAAAGTTGGACACCCCAGTAACTTTATGGGGAAGTTGGAGACAGATGTCACCAGTAAGGCTTTCTTGCAGGTTCTCTATCTGGAAGGGCCGGGGGAGGCATCCGGTTTATCGTGTGGCGCTTGGCTCGCCCAGGTGTTGCTGATAATGGCAATGACAGCACTGGCTGGTGTAGCATTGCATAGTTGACAGAACCTACCCACAAACTCCTCCATTGCTCCTCTGAAACCCCGGGGTGGGGGTGGGGGAGTGTGGAGCAGGGGCTGCTTACTTCCATTTCCAGATGAGATAAAGAAGGCCATGTAAGATCGCAGAGACAGTGACAGAGGACCGGCCCCAGGCGTTCTTTCCAGCACAGCATTCCATGCGGAGGCAGGGGTTTGGGGAAAGCGCTGTGAAACCTTGTCCTCGGTGTCAAAGGCTGACTCATCTGCTGACCTTGGCTCTCCCACCTTGCTCTTCAGCCCGTCTCTTCCTAAGCCTCCTCTTTAAACACCTCTAGCAAGGACCAAGAGCCTGGGAAAAAAATCCATGCTAATGTTTTTTCTAACTTTGACTCTGGATTGTGTCCATAGAAGATTCCTGCCTCATTTTTCCTCTTTCCACTTGGAAGCAAATCAGAATGTGGACTGCAGGAGGGCCATGAGGGCCTCCTCACGCTGTAGTGTTAAGCCTATGGATCTGTCTATGGCTCCCTGCAGGCTACAGGGCCCATGCAGGCAAGGCCCACGTTTCGCTGAGTGCTCTTGCCTCAGAGCCTAGCACAATACCCAGCACACAAGTACTACATTTATATTTGTCAAATCAAAGAAAATTTAAAGTGGTGCGATCCTAATCTGGGGGAGGAGAGTTGATAAAATGCCCTGCCATGCACTTGGGGTGCCTTCCTGTTTCCATTAGCTGGGAATGTGATCGGCCCTGGAACTTCATGGGTTAGCCCGCACGGAGACTCGGCTGGCAGTGACCTCCTGTGGCCCCTCTCTCATAACATCTGCCCTGGATGTCACTGCCCTACTAGTCTCACGACTCCTTTAAAGATAGTAACCCTTTTTCATGTTTTATGTACCATCTGTCATGCTGCTTAACAGAGCATTTTGCTCATAGCAGGAGATCAAGTATTTGTTGAATCAACTTAACTGAGGTCATGCAATTAGTAGATGAGACTATTGGTCTCCTGACCACCTTGTCTAATGATCATTGTGCATTGTGTAAAGGGACCTGGGGTGTCGGGCTGGGACCTGAAGGGTCAATCATGAGCTGCATGTGTTTCTTGAAGCCTAATGTTTTCCTTCCTTAGGAACAGTTTGGAAGTCCGGAGAGAGTAGTAGATGGGAAGGAGGAGGGAACTGGAATCCGAAATGGACATGGTAGTGGAGGAAAGATGGCTCTCTTCATATGAAATGCACATGATCTCTCCCTGGGAGACCCAGATCCGAAAGGACGAGGCTGGCAAAGACCG